GGCTGGCATGTGGTGCTGGGGGATTGAACCGCGGTCCCTGTGCTTTGCTAAGCTTGTTCTAAGTAGGTGCTTTAGACCACTGAGCCATCTCACCAGCCCGGAATTGATATTTAGATCATCTATATTTTCATTTTTATAAGCAACATAGCAGTGTCTATCTTATATGTAGAATGTTTTCCCACATTTTTGCTATTCCCCTAGGTTATGTTGGATAGAAATGGCAAAGTCAGAGGACATGAACTTTGAGTCTTAGTGCATGCTTTTTTTTTTTTTTTTTTGGTGGAACCGGGAATTGAACTCAGGCCCTTGTGCTTGCCGGGGAAGCACTTATTCCACTGAGCCATCTCCCCGGCTCTGGACATGAACTTTGGTAGGGATCTTTCTTGTCTTTCCAATGAGATGTGGTTTCATGTCTCATTGGTTTTTATTTTATTCTATATTATTTCATTTTATTTTACTGGGACTTGAACTCAGGCCCTTGTGCTTGCCAAGCAGGCACTGTGCCACTGAGCTACATCCTGTCATTGATTTTTGGATCTGACCTTGTATTTTTGGAAGGATCCAGGACATTTTGAGACATTCAAGGAAATTTTTAAGATCTTTCTGTTGGGGAGTTGTGGCATGTGCCTATAATCCAGGCACTCAAGAGGCTGAGACAGGAAGATCAGCAAAACTCTGAGGCAGGTCTGACCTACATCGTGAGACCTTGTCTCAGCACCCCCTCCTGCCCCAAAAGTCTTCTTACCCTCTCAGAGATAATGATATAGTTTGATAGCCTTTATTTATTTATTTTTTGGTGGTACTGGGGATTGAACTCAGGACCTTGTGCTTACTGGGCAAGTATTTATTCTACTGAGCTATCTTCCCCAGTCCTCTGTTGAATTTTTTTTTAAATTTTTTTCTTTTAGCCTTTATATAAGAAGTATATATATATATATATATGTGTGTGTGTGTGTGTGTGTGCATGTGTGTTGCATGTGTGTGTGTATTAAAAAGCAAGCATGGGGCTGGAGAGATGGCTCAGTAGAATAAGTGCTTGCCTGGCAAGCACAAGGTCTTGAGTTCAATCCCTGGTTCCACAAAAAAAAAAAAAAAAAAAAGCAGTATTTTAAGAAATTACTTACATATTGATTTACTAAAGAATTTAAGACAGCTGCTGGCATTCAAAGGACAGGTTATAGTGCTTAGGATTTCTGAGCTGCCTGGAGCTTTGATATTTTGGTGGGAGGGGGTTTGAGATAGGGCCTTTCTAGGTACCTCAGGCCAGCCTCAAACTTACTATGCTGGCCTCGAACTTTCTAGTCTTCCTGCTTCAGCCTCCCAGGGGTTAGGACTGCAGCACTGGCCACCATGCCTGACTGGCAGTTTCAGTTTCGAACGGTCACTTTTCTTGACTCCTGTTCCTACGCTGGCCTATGTGACCTACCAAGACATCCGTTCTGTCGGCACCTTTAAGGAGCAGACGGTGATCGCAGTCAAGGCCCCTCCGCAGACGCAGCTGGAGGTGCCAGACAAGGCTGAGGTGAGACGGGAAGCTTTGGACACAGAGCGGGGTTAGAGCCTCCTGGTCTGTTTTGCTAACTCTGTCCCCAACACTGTGCAGCCTTAGGCTCTCCTGGTCACAACACCAGTGGCTTCCGAGCTGGTACAGCAATGACAGAAGTTGGAATGGGCAACAGAGGAGTCTGAGACGGAGGGATCTCAAGTTCAAGCTATGCTCAGACAACTTAGTGACTTAGTGAGACACCATCTTAATTAAAAAGAAAAAAAAGACTGGGTTTATAGCTCAGCATGAAGGACCTGGGTTCAATCCCCAAGTACAACCAAAAGGGGGGGGACCCTAACCCCTTTTTATTTTATTTATTTATGTGGTACAGGGTCTCACTATGCAGCTGAAATTCATAGTGAACTTCCTGTCTCAGCCTCCTCAGTGCTGGGATTACAGGCATGCACCACCACACCCGGATTTGGTGGCCAGCATGGCACAGGGTTGGCATGGCATGTGGTGCCAGGGATCAAACCCAGGTCCTTGCACTTGCCAGGCAGGCGCTTAGACCGCTGAGCTACCTTCTTGGCTCCCCTTTTCATTTTCTGTGTTGAGATTGGCCTCACTAAGTTGCCCAAGGTGGCCTGGAACTTGTGACCCTCCTGCCTCAGCTTCCCAGAAAGTTAGGATTACAGACAAGTACCACCAGGCCTGGCTTTGTATGCAGTCCTCTGTGGGCGGAGGTGGGCAGGCCGAGTGTCAGATAACAGAGATCAGGTCTCAGCTGCACAGTGCAGGGAGCAGGGTGAGGGACCATGTGAGGACTCCAGGGTGAACTTGGAGCCTGGAGGCAAGGGGCCCAAGCATGGCTTCAGGCTCTGTCTCCAGCCCCGACCTGCTTTTCTCTGTGCTGTCTGTTCCCAGCTGGGCTGTCCGCTGTGGTGGCAAACAGCTTGGGGATACCCGCTCGGCTGCCCCCCTCCATCCCCTGGAGGGAGCTTTTCCCATAATTCCATCCAGAGCCCTGGGTCCACTGGGCCATGTAACTCCCTGCCCCTGCCCCCACTGTATAACCTGTGGGTGGGGAAGGAGTTTCCCAAAGGAAACACCAAAGTGTTTCTACCAGAAGGGGCCAAGTGGGCAGCAGAACAGCAGGGCCCAGCATGGGCCAGGCAGGTGGGCCTCAGTGCCCTCCTTGGGGACTGACCTGCTCACAGATGCCGTGGCAACCGCCTGTGTCTGTGCACACGGTAAGTTGCATGTTGGTGTGCAGCTGCTCAGAGCCGGCCCCTGGCCCTCTTTCTCCCCAGGAGAACCTGCAGGTATATCTGAAGAGCACCCAGGGGCCCATCGAAGTCTACCTGTGCCCTGAAGAGGTTCAGGAGCCGGACAGTCCCACCAAGGAGCCCCTCCCTTCCACCTCCGCCCTCAGCCCCAGCCCGGACTGCGCCCTACCCAACCGTGGCCCTGACCTTGGGGTCTCGGAGCCCACTGCCTCCACAGGTAGGGTCAGGAGGTGGGCAGAGCGACTGCCCTTGGTTTCCTCTTCAGCACTTGGATTTGTTGGACATCTCCCATCTTCCCAGTGTCTGGGGGCACAGTTGTCTCCTCACACGTGTGCATTGCACTTTCTGCTTACTGAAACACACGCACACCCCTGTTTTATTGAGGAGTTGATGCTGCTCTGGAGCAGAAGAGGATCTGGCTTTGAATCCCAGCTCCACCTTTTACCAGCTGTATGTGCTTGGATAAATAACATAACCCCTCTGTGCCTCATTTTCCTCATCTGTACGTTGGGCATAGTAGTTTTTTTGGTGGAACCGGGGATTGAACTCAGGCCCTTAGCGCTTGCCAGGGCAGCACTTATTCTACTGAGCCATCTCCCCAGCCCCATAGCAGTTAATAATATGGAACTCTTAGCTTATTGTGTGGCTTAATGGGTTCAAATGTGAAACCTCTGATCTAGCAGTAACTGCTGGCCACTATAATTACTGCTGTTACTAGCACCAGGACCGCTGCCTCTATGAGGGCCGCTAGCAGCACGGCGCACAGTAAATCCATGGTGAGTGGAAACTGCGGTTCCTGAGGCGGCTCAAAACTTTATTGGAAAGTAGTAATTGAGGTTTTTTGAACCATGTCCAGGGTCCAAGTAGTTCTATCTCATGCTGTTCCTCATAACATTTCTTGGATTAGATTTTATTATTTCCAGGTTAGAGATAACTAAGCTGAACCACAGAGGTGATGTAACTTAGCCTGGGCTAGCTTCCCAGCTGGGAGGCTGCACAGCTAGCTGTGTCCGTGTGTGTGAAACTGGAGATTGAGCCCAGGGCTTTCACACAGCTACAACCGCAGCTCGTTTGGATTTTGAGACAGGGTCTTCCTAAACTGTCCAGGCTGGCCTCAAATTTGTAACTTCCTGCCTCAGCCTCCCAGAGTGCTGGGATTACAGGTGTGTTCACCATGACATCCAGGCTGTGTCTTCAATGTTTTGTCCATACTCCTCGCTGTCTCCACAGGTGGAAAATATATCAAGGAAGGGTCTCCTGGCTGGGAGCTGGGTGTGGAGCTTGTGACATCTAACAGGAAGTTGCCAGGGTGTGAGGAGGCAGGGGAGGTCCTAACAGTGTGCAAGGAGGGCGGAGTCCAGAGGGGCAGAAATGGAAGTTGTGAAGGCCCTTGGTGCTGAGTGGCTTTTGCCCTGTGTTGAACTCTACCCCAAGTCAGACCTCAGGAGTCCCCCAGGCCCTGTGCCAGCCTTCCACTTGCTGTTTTGTTAGTGAAATCCCTTCCCTGTGGCTCTTGCCCCAAATCAAGACAGCTAGACCTTGCCTGATGGAAGACACTTGGTGGTGGTGGGTCATGGTGGGGCTTACAGAACACGGATTATATTTCATCTCTTTTTTGAAAAATATTTGTGAATCTTTTATTTATTTATATATTTATTTATTTTTGTGGAACCGGGGGTTGAACTCAGGGCCTTGTGCTTGCCAGGCAAGCACTTATTCTACTGAGCCATCTCCCCGGCCCCTGAATCTTTTATTTATGTATGTATTTGGTACAGGGTCTCACTATGTAGCTTGGACTCATAGTGATCCTCTTGTCTCAGTCTCCCCAGCACTGGGATTATAGGCGTGCGCCGCCATGCCTGGTTTTGGTGGCTGACCCAGCACACCTGGGGTTCGGGTGCAGCACGGCATGCAGTACTGGGGATTGAACCCAGGTCCTTGCCTTTGCCAGGCAGGTGTTTAGACCGTTGAGCTATTTCCCCAGCCCTAGATTTCATGCCTGGTTTTGGTGGCTGACCCAGCACACCTGGGGTTCGGGTGCAGCACGGCATGCAGTACTGGGGATTGAACCCAGGTCCTTGCCTTTGCCAGGCAGGCGTTTAGACCGTTGAGCTATTTCCCCAGCCCTAGATTTCATTTCTTTAACTCAGAATTTGACAAATTTACCTGCAGGTCAGAGCTGGCCTGCTTGTGTACAGCTTATGAGCTAAAAATGAACGGTCTCTACCTTGCTTTTTAACCTGTTTGCCCTTGTGGTACCAGAGAGTCAACCCAGTGCCTTGGGGCTGAGCTACACCCCCAGCTCCTTCCACTGGCTATTTTGAAGTCTTTTTTTTTTTTTTTTTTTTTTTGCGGAACCGGGGATTGAACTCAGGCCCTTGCACTGGCCAGGCAAGTGCTTATTCTACTAAGCCATCTCCCCAGCCCCTTACTGGCTATTTTGAGTCAGGTCTTACTCTGTGACCCAGGCTGGCCTTGAACTTGTGATCCCCTGGCTTTAGCCTCTCATGGGCCTGGGCTGGCAGACGTGCACCACCACTCCCAGCTCAGTCACTTTTCTTTGCTCTCCTTTCAAGTAAAACTTGCCCAAGAGTCTTCTGGATTTTTACATTCTAAGGGCTGAAGAGGGCGCATCTGTGTTGGCGGAGGTCACAATGTCCCACCAAATCTAAAAAGCTGTCTGGACTTTTAGAAAAGTTTGCTGACCCTGAACTCATTCAACCTTTGGATTTATACCAGAATAAGCTCAAAACCCCAGGAGGACAGGTTGCTGGCAGACATGGAGCAATATCTCCCAGTTCTTCTTTAGTGATCTGCCCTGTGTTTGTAGCCTTGTCCAGGGCTGGAGCATCGCCCTGTGCCAGCCAGCTGGCCCCTGGGCACCTCCCCACTGCCTATCTGCTACCCCAGGCCTGTGCCCCACCCTGTTGCTCCTCCTGCCACTTTGCCTTGTCTGTCAACATGAGTGTAGCTCTCCCGAGTTAGACTCCCCTTCACTTGTCCTGAGTCCCCGGGGTGGAAGCGGTGGATCCCACAGAGTACACGAGGGTGAAGTTGCTGCCAGATTTTGTGTGTGGGGTTTTTTTTTTTTGTTGTTTTTTTCTTTTTTGCGGAACCAGGGATTGAACTCAGGCCCTTGTGCTTGCCAGGGAAGCGCTTATTCCACTGAGCCATCTCCCTGGCCCTGCTGCCAGATTTTGACAGATGTAGACCTGAGCCAAGCTAGATGTGGCACACACCTGTCATCCCAGCATGTGGGAGGCAGAGGCAGGGGGATTTCCATGAGTTCAAGGTCATCCTGAGTTACATAGTGAGTTCAAGGCCAGCCTGGACTATATAAGGAGACTCTATCTAAAACAAAACAAAACAAAAAGCAAAAAAACCTTTGGCTCACCCAAAAAAAAAAAAAAAAAAAAAGGGGCCGGGGAGATGGCTCAGTGGAATAAGCTCTTCCCTGGCAAGCGTGAGGACCTGAGTTCAATCCCCGGTTCCACCCAAAAAAAACCCTTTGGCTCAGACAGTAGAGGCTACAGAGCAGTCAGTAGTAGAGCCAGCCCAGAAGCCAGCTGCCATGCCCTGACTGTCCCTCTAGGCTTGCCACTTGGCCTCAGCTTTGCCCCTGATTTGGTGGAGGAGAAATCCTTCCTGAAGGAGTTCGTGTATCTACACACACCACACATGTGTTCCATATTCTGGCCTGAAGTTGAGGAATTTGAGGCCTGAATATCAGAGCCCAGGCCTGAAGCGGAGGTCATTGCTGTCTTGGGACTTGGGTCCTGGCCCTGGTTCTGGCATCCACAGGAGGATTTCTAACCCTTTGCAGTGTCTGTTTCCTTCATTTGTAATAGAAGAGGTTTGAATAAGGGTCACTTCTAAACCCCTCCAGGCTCTGGCATTCTGCAGAAAGCCCAAGTGAACTGACAGAATAGGATTTGAAATTGGGAGACTTGGTGATAGTGGGGAAGTCACTTTAACTTCTCCAAGCCTTGGTTTCTATATCTCTAAAATGGGCCACTAACACCCTCCTTGGGCTGGGGAGATAGCTCGGTAGAATAAGTGCTTGCCTGGCAAGCACAGGGTCCTGAGTTCAATCTCTAGTCCTGCAAAAATAAATAAAAATAATAATAGGGTTGGGGAGATAGCTCAGTGGCTTAAGCACCTGCCTGGCAAGCACAAGGTCCTGAGTACCAAAAATAAATAAATAAATAATAATAATAATACCCTCCTCAAGCTGTGTGTAGTGATGCATGCCGTATAGTCTTAGGTAGGGAGGCTGAGACAGGAGGATCACTTGAACCCAGGAGTTTGAGGCCATCCTGGGTAGCATAACAAGACTCTCTCTCGACAAAAAATTCATGAATATTGGGTGGGTTACAGGAGAGACGGCAGCGTGAGTGTGGCTTTTAAACAGCTCATGTGAACCGAGCATTAGTTTGTAGGGGCTGGTGCAGTTTAGGGGATACAAGAGCGCCGCGGAGAGAATGGTGGAGTCAGAGTTACAAAGGGTGGGTCAGCTCTGGACTCAATCAGAAGCAGGAAAGAGCAAGGTCCAGGCTGAGGCAGAAATTTCCACACACCTTATAGTTACTGCCTCCAGGGACTGCCAGGAGGATCTTTGTTTTTCTGTGTAAAGAAACAGCCACCAATTCCAACAGCTGATGGGAGAGGGGTATATGCCAAGAAACGGGGTTGCTGAATCGTTGTAATTCCTTTTATCTATTTATTAATTTTTTTTTTGAGACAGGTGTCACTGTGCAGTTCAGGCTAGCTTTGAACTCACTGTGTAGCCCAGGTTGTCCCCAAACTTGCAGGTACCCTCCTGCCTCAGCCTCCTGAGTGCTAGGATTACATGTGCACCATCACACCCGACTATAATTCCGTTTTTAATTTTTTTATGTATATGGCTCTGGGGCTCACACCCAGACTTCCTCGAGGTCTACCACTGAGCTACCTGCTCAGCCCTTTTTGGCTTTTTGAAGGATACTGTCCATCTGTAATGGTTGCACCGTCTTATGTTCCCACCAGTAATGCACGGGGATTACTTTCTCTACATCCTTGCCAGCTCTTGAAGGCAGCATCTAGTGGGTATGAGGTGATTTGTCACTGTAGTTTTGATTTGCATTTTTCTGATTGGTGACACTGAGCATTGTCACTGCCTGTTTGCATATCTTTTTTTTTTAAATTTAATTTTATTTATTTGTTTTTGTGTGTGTGGCCAGCTTAGCCCACCAGGGGGCGGGGCTGGCTGGCATGTGGTACTGGAGGATTGAACCGTGGTCCCTGTGCTTTGCTAAGCTTGTTCTAAGGTGCTTTAGACCATTGAGCCATCTCACCAACCCCTGCATATCTTCTTTTTGGAGAAACATCTGTTCAAGTCCTTCCCTCCCCCCCTTTTTTTAATGTATTTGGTTCAGGGTCTCACTGCGCAGCTCATGATCATGGTAGCTCCCCTGCCAGGTTAAGTATCACTACGCAGCTCAGACTCGTAGTGATCTTCCTGTTTTCAGCCTCCCCAGCACTGGGATTACAGGCAGCGTGCACCACCACACCAAGCCTTGGTGGCCAGCTCAGCGTGCCCAGGGTAGGTGCCAGCGGAGCATGTGGTATCAGGGATCGAACCCCGGTCCCTGCACCTGGCTAAGCAGACGCTTAATCCGATGAGCTACCTGCCGGCCCCTTTGCCCATTTTTGAATCAGCTGTTTTGTTGTTAAATTTTAGTACTTTGCTATAGAGATTCTGAATGTATGTTATTTGTAAATACCTCATATTTTCTCCCACATTGTCTTTTGGTGCACGAACATCTCTTCCCTTCTCTCCCTTCTTTCCTTCCTTCCTTCCTTTCTTCCTTTCCTTCTTTCCTTCCTTTTTTCTTTCTCTCGTACTGGGGATTGGACCCAGGGTCTTTACACGGAACTACATCCTCAGCCCTTGTTTGTTTTGAGACAGAATCTCACTAAGGTTGTCCAGGTTTGGCTTGAATTTGTGATCTGCCTCAGCCTCCCAGAATACTGGGATTATAGGCATTCACCAGCTAAAATTTTTTTTAAGTTCAATTTGTCTTTTTTTTTTTTTTTTTACAGCTGGTGTTTGGCCTTTGATGTCATCAGAAAAATCATTGAAAGGGGCTGGGGAGATGGCTCAGTGGAATAAGCGCTTCCCTGGCAAGCGCAAGGGCCTGAGTTCAATCCCTGGTTGCACAAAAAAAAAAAAGAAAGAAAAAGAAAAATCCAGTTTTGGGCAGGGCTGATAGCTCAGTGGATTAAAGCACCTGCTTAGGCAGAGTGCAGTGGTGGGGTTTGATCTCAGGGCATGCTGTGCCAGCCCCGCCCCTGCCCCTGGGCTGCACTGAGGCAGCAATTGAGATTGCACGTGGTGACACCTATAATCCCAGCACTTGGGAAGCTCAAAACAGGAGAATCACTACAAGTCTGATCTACGTAGTCAGACCCTATAGACCCTATAGGGGGTCTATAGGGTCTTAGATACAGAAAAAAAATCCAGTGTCAAGGTGCTTTGGTTCTATTTTCTTCTAAAATATTTATAGCTTTATATCTTAATTTTAGTTTTCCATTTTGAATTAATTTTTGTTAGATAAGGGTCCAATTTCATTTCTTTGCATGTGAACATCTGGTTTGGAGCACCATTTGCTGAAAGGACTGTCCCTTAGGGATTTTTTTGTTGTTTTTGTTTTTTTGAGACATTCTTGTTATGTAGTTCAGGTTGGCCTTGAACTCACTATGTAACCTAGGCTGGCCTTGAGCTCATGACAGTCCTCCTGCTTTAGCTTCTGGTGTACTGGGATTACAGGTGGGTACCACCATGCCCAGTTTGGAAGGCTGCTTTTTTTTCTTTTTCTTTTTTTTTTTTTTTTGCAGAACCGGGGATTGAACTCAGGCCCTTGCACTTGCCAGGCAAGTGCTTATTCTACTGAGCCATCTCCCTGGCCCTGGGAGGCTGCTTTTGAAAGCTACTCAGTGTTAGAATACATGTGTGCGTGGATGGGAATAGAGTGGCAGAGAGAGGGCTAATAACAGTATGGACAAAGAAGCAATTGGGTACAGAAGCTGGGAGAAGTGGATTTTTTTTTTTGTATTTTAAAGAAGGGTCTACAGGGTGCTCAGGGTCTTACTACTAGATTGGACTTGTAGTGATTCTCCTTATTACAGCCTCCCAAGTCAAGTGCTGGGATTACAGGCATGTGCCACCACACCCAGTCTCAACTACCATCTCAGCGCGCCCTGGGGTAGTTGCAGGTGCTTTAATCCTGCAACTGTTTGACCCACCCTGAGAAGTGGATTTGGAGAGCTGGACAATTCACCTACTGGAGAGGAGAGGGGGGAATGGGATGAGGGAGGTGTCTGGGGTTGGCACTGAGAGAGGAACAGTGTCCCACACTATTAGGTGTGAGCAGGCTGGAAGAAAGAAGGGATACACTGTCACTCAGAGAATAAACAGGCTGTCATACCATAAGGCCTAGTGATGACCTTTCTCTGTCTCCAGGGCCATCACTGACTCCCCTGCAGGACCCACTGCCACCGCCACTGCCACTGCCACCATCTCCCCTCCCAATGGAGGTCACTGACAGTATGCTGGGGCTGACGCATCCGCTTCTCCAGCAGACTGAAGACCAGCTCCTGTCTCCAACCTTGGCCTGCGCTTCCCCTCTGATCAGCTTCTCCCCACCCCTGGACCAGGATGACTACCTATGGGGCCTGGATGGTGGTGAAGGTGTCAGTGACCTCTTTGACTCCTACGACCTTGGGGACCTGTTGATTAATTGAGCAGCCTTGCCGGGCCTCAGCAGTGCCACACCTGTCTACCTCCTCACAGACAGACTGACCTGTCCTCTGCCCGTATGGCAATGTTGGACACAGGTTGCCGGCCTCAGGGCATGATGGTCATCTCTCCTTCCCAGCCTCCTTGGCCGCAGATGTCTGGGAGATGTGGAGGATGTGGCTGAGGAGGGATCAGGGTCTGGGTCCTGTCTTTCCTCCTCTCACCTGTGACCTCTCATATGAAGGACCACAGGTGCAGGTGACCAAGTTCAGGGAATGGCCCTGCCACGTCCTTTTGAAAGATAATTAGGGCCCTTGATTTCTCAAGAAGCACTTAATGCCTTTGTATTTATTTCAGGTTGGGTTTTGTTTGTTTGTCCTCCCTGAGTTTTAGCAGGGAGAATGTTGTAGTTTCTAGCAAGACTTCTCAGTCAGGCCTAGGCCAACTCCCCGGTTTTCCCTGCACGGTGGGGACTGGGTCTCTGAGGGGTTGTCCAGTTTGCTGGAATGTTAATTGCACTTAGGCCTTGTAATTCTAGTAAGTGCCAAGTCCTCAGTCTCTGCCTGTTCTCAGTCTGATGTACCTAGTCAGCTCAGAGAAGGTTCTAGTAGCCCTCCTGAGGCAGGCAGCATCGAGGCTTCTGAAGTAGCAGAAGCCGGCAGTTAAGGAGTCCCTCTTCCTTTGTAATTGACCTTTCCTCTTCTTCCCTGTAGAGTAAACGCTCCAGGGAGTCAAGCAGTGAAGAGCCCCTGAGGAAACAGACAGGAGTGTCCTGGCTGCCTCAGGCTCCTTTCCTTAGAGTTCCCCCACACACACCAAGGCAAGGCAGTTCCACCTAGACAGGAGTGAAGTGAAAACAGGAAGCCTCAGGAAGGAGCCCCAGGAACTGCTAGTATCCTTTCCAGTTCCCTGGGATAGTTTTTTTGCCAGTCGTTGAAGGGGATCTTCTTTTTTCTTTTTTGAACTGGGGGTTGAACCCAGGGCCTTCACGTTGAGCTATATCCCAGCTCTTTTTCAATATTGAGACAGGGTCTTGGTAAATTGCCCAGACTGGGTTGGAGCTTGCAGTCCTCCTGCCTCAGCCTCCTGGAGTGCTAGGCTCACAGGCATGCATTACCACATCTGGCTGATTCTTTAAGGACCTCCTTTTCTCTCACACAGACCTCCAAGGGCAGAGGTGACCAGGGTTTGGTGGCATGTTTACTCTTCTGTCACTGGAATGCTGCAGGGGTGATAGGGAAGGGCCTTCACTGTGGACCCAGCAGCTGATGAAGAGAGGGGCTGGTATTATCTCCTCCTCAGGCCCCAGGGTCCACAGAGGCTCCACCCCATACCTCCAGAGGCTTGGCCACCCACATGTCCCTGTAGCCCAGCTGGGGGCAGGGAATTAGTGATCTTCCACCACACTGCGAGTGGTTGCCTCAAGGCTGTGCCTTCTGGAGAGGGGCACCCAACGGTGAGGTCAGAGGGGCCTTCCGCCCACCCTCAGGGAGCTAGGGTTCCTCAGGGGCTCAGCTGGGCAGCACTTTTTTTTTTTTTTGTCTTTAACTTTGTAGCATTAAGTTGATTTAAAATATGAAGTTGGCTGGTTGGATGTGAAGTTGGGAAGGTGGGCTTACATGGGGCCCGACGTGAGCCAGTGGGGGACAGTGTTAATTTTCTTGGGGCCTCACGTTGGCCCCTCCCAGGAGGACAAGCTCCTCTACTGTTGTTTTTTTGTGTGCTTGGCTTCACCCCACAAACACCCCCGAGTCTCATTGGAAGTCCTCCTCCCAGAAGTCCAGCACGCTCAGGACCAAGGACCAAGGCACCACTTCAGCTCCTGGGGAGAGGGTGGGGAGTTGGCACAGTGGTTGGAACACATGGGACAAGAAGTGGTGTTGCTGTCCTGAAGTCTCCACAGGGTTGCTTTTTTTTTTTTTTTTTTTGTCGTACTAGGGATTGGGTTACTTTTAAGCCCTGTACGCTTCTGAGAAGGGAGACACTTGACCTCCGTGCCTCTTAAACTAGAGAGAAGAGGCCCTTGGGACCCTTCTGGAATGAGTTAATGCTGTCTGCCTGGATTTGAGCTCATTCCCCAGGGGCCTAGCCAGAGGGCTGTGCAGAGGACCTTCTGGAGCAGCTGGACCTCCCAGACTAAGCCCCAGGCACAGTGTGGGAAAGAACCTTGTGCCTCTTTCTTGCCAGTTAACACTTGAAACCTCCCCCACTTTTTTTTTTTTTTTTTTTTTTTTAAAGAGTACTGGGGGTTGAATCCAGGGTTTTCACACTGAGCTAGATCTCTTGGCTTTTATTTTTTATTTTTATTTTATTTTTTGAGACAAGATCTCACTAAGTTGCTTAATCAGGACTTGAACTTGAGATGCTCCTGCCTCAGTGTCCCAGAGTGCTGGGCTTATAGACCTGTACTACTGTGGTCAGCGAAAACCTCCCCGTATCGGTAGAGTGCTTTAAGAACACCATGCTGCATGGGCCTTTAGAGACCACACAAATTTTAAGCGTAGAACAAGAGAAAAAGCGTGTTTCTTTCTGGGGTAGATATTTCTACCAGGAAATTCCTCAGTCCCACCAGCAGCCCCCAAGTCACTCACCTTTCCAGGGACATCAAAGGCTCAGGGACTCCAGGGAGCTGGGTAGTGTTAAATTGTTAGTGCACTTGGAAATTCAGAGATTTCTTAACAGCAGGGAAGGTGCCAGCAGGAAGCACCCTCTCTCTACCTCAGGCGGTCAGCTAGAGCGGCTGTAGGGCAGAGGGAGGCTTGCTTTAGGGCAGCAGGACTCTCCTGCACATTCCAACCTCCATCCTGTAAGTGTTTGGCATTGCCACGGGTTTGGGTGCTCTGCTGTCTGTGTTTCTTGCAGCTTAGTGGATTTGAAGTGAAAGCCTCTGGGCTGTTTGCAGAAAGCTTTCTGGTTGTTAGAGCTGTATCCCGAGGTTCCACCTCTGCCTGGGACCCTGTGGCCCCTCAGTGACCATGAAGACCATAAGCCTGGGTGAGATAGGGCCATGGGAAGCTGGCTCCTGTGCCAGGACTCCAGGGATCACTGCCTCAGGCCCTGATGAGCAGCAGCCAAGGCACCTGTGTGTGATGGTGACATTAAATGACAGCAGTTCTGTGTTCCTTGTCTGCGTTGTATTTCCTGAATCAACCTCATCACCAGCTGTGAGTCTGCTTTCCTAGAACAGAAAGGGTGGGGGAGGTATTGGCCAGGAGCATGTCTTCTAGCTGGTGTCCCCCAAAATAGCCTTCTGGTCCCTCTGTGGCTGGTCACCATGTCTGACACCTCCCTGGGAGGACACAGCAGTGTCTGGACCTGAGCTGTGACCCACCCTGTCTCTGGGTCATGGCAGTGACCGTACTGGCCCCACACTCCTCCATCTCATCCTCTGCGCCAGAGATTCTCCAAGTGGAGGCCCTGGACTAGTGGCCTTGGGGTCACCTTGGAGCTTGTGAGCAGTGCTGTCGTGAGCGAGGCTACACCCAGGCCTGTAGAGTGAGGTGCTCGAGGGATGCAGAAGTCTGGGTCCTAATGAGCCTTCCAGAGGTGACTGATCTGGGCTGGGGAGATAGCTCAGTAGAATAAGTGTTTCCCTGGCAAGTGCAAGGGCCTGAGTTCAATCCCTGGTTCCGCCAAAAATAAACAGGTGACTGATCTGCTGCAGTTCGGAAGCTTGTACGTCTCACTCCCCCAGAGGTGTCCCTGACACCTTCTTGCCCTGTAATTTTTCCCCCAGATTCTGGGAATTCACACAGGGTCTTCACGCTGAGCTACATTGCAGTCCTTTTTATTTTTTTATGTTATATATTTGAGTCAAAGACTTGGCAAGTTGCCCCCAGGCCAGAGCCCAGAGACCTTTCTAAAATGTAAATCTCAACCTAAGTGTGACAGTGCAAACCCTGTAATTGTGGCACTCTGGGAGGCTGAGGCAGGAGGGTTGTGCATCTGAAATCCTGTTTATGAATGAATGAGTCGGGATGAAACTTAATTCCAAGATCCTGGGGGTAAAACCATTCTCATCATGTTCTTTTTACTCAGTGCCCATCCACGATTCCTTGTCTGCCCTTGGCTTGGCCACTTACAGCCTCACTCTTAGCTCAGTCCTTCCTGTCACCCATAGCCACACACTCCTGAAAACGTGTTTCCCTCCCCTGGGCCTGTGCGCATGTTGCTCCCTCTACTAGGAGGTCCTGCTGAGGCAGGTGCCCACCTGCTCCTCAGAGCTCAGCTCAAGAACATTCCTGTAGGGTTCGCTCTACACTGACCTGTCACCATTAGTGCTTTGCAAGTAGATGTGGTGGTCTATGGGTATTGAACGCTTGTTACCCAGGAGGCACTGGGGCAATGGAGGTAAATAAGATGCGGACACATGATTGCTGATGCTGTGGCAGCTGTGGTCACATCAGAAGTGAGAAGATATCTGGGAGGGCTTCTTAGAGGAAGAGATCTCCAAGCAGTGTCTGAAGGGGTGAACATGAATAGCCTGATGCTGGAACACAGGGGAAAGGAAACCTCCATGCCAGACAGCTTGAATCAATGGCTCTGGTCTCCTAGCAAACAAGGGCAGGTATCCCAGGAGCACCTGCCCCTGCCACTAAGACATTGGCAGCTAGAAGTCAGAAAGTGACTGCAAAGCTCACCTCTGCCAGTCTGTGCTCTTAGGAAAGGACTGACGGACCCTGAGGATGGTGGGATGGGGCGAACCAGGTCTGGAGGTCCTGGTGGCCATGGGACACTAACTAATGAGGTTCTGGAACTCAAAGGCAGAAAATCAATTTACCTGCAAGGTACAAAGACAACCTGGTCACATAGGTGAAGTAAGGCCTGAGGACTGGGCCGCTAACATACAGGGCAAGATAGGTTTTGCTTGGGCCCAGCACCGGGAGGAGGTTGAGGCAGGAAGTTCTCAAATTCAAGATCAGTTTAGCATACATAATGAGACCCTGCCTAAAAAAAAAAAAAAAAAAATTCCTGAAGAGGTGATTGCATGGTGAAGGTTTTAACTTCAGCAATGGGTTCATGCATTGATGAGTTCTAAGCCTAATGAGCTTGGGCTGGGCTGGGGAGATGGCTCAGTGGAATAAGCACTTCCCTGGCAAGCGCAAGGGTCTGAGTTCAATCCCCGGTTCTGCCAAAAAAAAAAAAAAAAGCCTAATGAGCTTGCAGGAGGCGGGGCAGAAGTGGCTCCTAGTGGTTGGACCTTGGAAACAAAATCTGGACCCTGGCTCCTTTCTAGATGCCCTGCATCGAGCAGCTTTTCTCTGCTGTGATGTTTTTGGTTTAGGCCCAGCCGGACACTGAAAGCATAATTCAAAATAAATCACTCAGGCCAGGGATCTAGCTCAGTGGCTTGAGCACCTGCCTGGCAGGTGCAGGGTCCTGAGTTCAATACCCAGTACAGCAAAAACAAAATGCTCTACAAAATAAATCACTCCTCCTTTCAGTCGCAGGTATTTTGTTTCAGCAGCAAGAAAGCTGACAACATACTAGCAAAGATCCCAGTAATTCTAGGGTGTCTACTCAAGAGAATGAGAAGGTGTGTCTGTGCAGGGGCAAGACTTGCATATATGTGTTCATGGCTTTATGCATAGTAGCTCCAAGATGGAAATATGTAAATAGCCATCAATTAGTGAATGGACAAAAGAATTAGATCCACGCAGTGGAATAGTATTCAGCCATAAAAAGGAAAGAGATACTAATACCTACTACAGTGTGGTTCTTAAAAACATGCTAAGTCCTGTCACCAAATCACATGTGGTCTGATCACATTTATGGTTTGTCTAGAATAGGATTAATTATAAGTGGGCACAAGGGGTCTTATGAATAGACATGCAAAAATTCTTTAAAAAGATTGAAAAAAAAAAAAAAAAGAACCAGTACCAAGCCAAACCCAGCAAAAAAGAATTATATACCATGGAATTTATCTCAGGAATTCAAGGTGTGTTTTTTTCTTTTGTTAGGGATTAAACTC